GAGGGCCCGTGCATATGTCCCTTGGGAGTCGAGGTGTTGCAGAATGTAATGCAGTGCCATGTTCACTGCATTGTCCACTGACCTGTTTGCCCGGTAGGCGAATTGTAGGGGGTCCAGCAGGGGGTCTACGATGTCCTTCAGATAGGCCAACACCAGTCTTTCAAAGGACTTCATAACTACAGATGTCAGGGCGACACGTCTGTAGTCATTCAGCCCAATGATGGGCATTTTTTGGAGGACTGGAATGATGGTGGAGCATTTGAAGCAGGAGAGGACTTCACACAGCTCCAGTGACCTGTTGAAGATAAGTGTGAAAATGGGGGCCAGCTGTTCAGTGCACACTTTCAGGCAGGAGGGGGTCACACCATCTGGGCCTGGTGCCTTTCTGATCCTTTGCTTTTTAAAGAGGCCACACACATACTTTTCACAGATCATTAGAGGTGGGGGGCTGGAGAGAAGGATTGTGATTGTTGGGGGAGCAGCTGCTGGGTCTGAGGTGGGGAATGTGAGGGAGTGTGTTGTTTGTCAAACCTGCAGTGGAACACATTCAGGTTGTCTGCTAGTTGATGGTCCTCCACAGCGGAGGGGCTATAGCCAGTGATGCTTTTCAGGCTTCTCCATACAGACGAGGGGTCATTGGCTGAAACCTGAGCTATCAGCTTTTCAGAGTAGCTCCTCTTTGCTGCTCTAATCTTCCTCGTCAGTGTGTTCCTGGCCTGGCTGTACAGAGTCCTGTCCCCACTTCTTTAAGCCTCCTCTTTGGCATGACAAAGCTGCTTGAGTCTTGCTGTGAACCAGGGCTTGTTGTTGTTGTTGTATGTGCAGAAGGACTTTTTGGGCACACACACATAATAAGATGGACCATACAGTGATCAGAGAGTCCGAGGGCTGCACGGGGGACAGAGCGATAGGCGTCTTTTATTGTTGTGTACCAGTGGTCCGGTGTGATTTTGTCCCTGGTGGGACAGGTAACGTGCTGTCTGTATTTGGGCAGTTCATGGGTGAGATTTGCTCTGTTAAAGTCCCCTAGAACAATGAGTGGAGAGTTGGGATGTTCTAGCTTATCTGTTCTGCCAGGAGCTGTAGTGCACTAGCGTGGGCCTGTGGACTTATGTACACTCTCATTAGCATGAAACAGTTAAATTGACAAGGGGAATCAAAAGGTTTGCAATTGATAACAAGAGTCTCTTGTGTAACACAGTGGGTCTGCGTCACATGTCCTCTGTAGCACTGTGACATCTGTGCACCAACCTTTATTTATGTAGGAGCAGATTCCTTTACACGATCCGCTCTGAACACCTGGAAGCCCGGTACTTGTATCGTGCCTTCCGTGATCGAGTCGCTCAGCCAGGTCTCCATGTAGTACAAAGCAGCAGAGCGTGCAAAGTCAGAGTTAGTCATGTTGACGAGAAGAATTTCATCCATCTTGTTGACCAGGGAGCGGAGATTTGCTAGGTGGATAGAGTGGGGTCTGTGTTCCCCTCTGTCGTAACCTCACCAGAGCACCCGCCCGCTTTCCACAGCGGCGTTTCTTCCAGATCCCGTATATTGCTGCTGCATCTCTGATCAGAATGTCCATACAGCATTCTTCGTTCACAATAATTGGAGGAAGGTAGTTCGGTGTGAGTTGTTCAATATTTAACAGTTCTTCTCTGGTTAAAGTAATCTGGGATGAGTTGCAAAACACCAAGAAAACAAAGAAAAACAACAAACACAAGAGAGCACGAGTAACCACCGCTGCCATCGCAGCACAGATGCAGAGTGAGATGGTGCAATACATCAGAGAGAGGAGGGACCTCTTTGACGGAACCTTTGATGGACTGCTGTTTCCTGCGGTAACCGTACTCATTTCCTGTTTTCTGTGCCTGCACCGCATTTGTGCTTGGTCTCAAATTGTTTAGGAATTAAACTTACTGTTTCTAAGTTCCATCTGAATTTTTGAGCAACAACATACGCTTGCACCACTTAAGCACTTGTGTTGCAGAAGTTCTTGCTAATTACCAGATTTAATTTGCTACTTTTGGTCGGCTAGCTTAGAAGCCAGCTAAGCTTGTAGCCTAATTTAGAGCAATGGCTTCCCCCTGTTCCTCTCCTCCTTTCTCTTGCTCGGAGTGTCACATGTTCATTTATTCCTCTGCCTCCTTTAGCGATAACGGTACTTGTAATAAATGTCAGATGCTAGCAGCATTGGAGGCGAGGCTCCGCACCACGGAGAACAGCCCAGGTAGCCGGTGTGGAGGCTTCTAG